TAACCTTGGGGTATATGCATTGACGACAGCGCTGAAGCTGCCGTGATCGGGAGTGTGGGCTACACCATCTTCACCCGATGAGGCCGAAGCACTACCGCTTGTAGCGGAAGTGTCGGTTGTAGGAACAGGAGTGGTACACTCGACCGTACCTACTATGCGCGCATCCTGCGACACATATCTAGCTGCTCCCTGTTTTGCCATCGGCGGGTCGGGGAGTAACGACAAGCCGCCGTTGGGCTGTCAGTTACCAGCATTATACGTTACAGGAGTGCGGGCATTTGGGTTGGAGTCTACGGGGAGTCGGCTGTTGATTCTTAACGCCGGCTGCGCGTGTGTGGCAGACACTGGAGCAGTACCTGCATGAGGCTGGTATGCTACCAATGTGTGCTGTTGGGCTGGTGCACTAGATTGCATCAGGCCCTGTGGTGGCGGTTGATGCCACGTCTGAGTGTATTGTTGCGGGTTTGGAGCGTTACCAGCGTATTGAACTCTATGAGCTGGTCTGTGGGAACGGCGCCGGTTTTGTTGGCCATTCGAGTTGCGTGAGCCGTGTGTTGTGGCAGTCGCAGGCTTAGTCCTCGAGGACCGCAAGCGCTCTTGCCACAGGCGAAACGTGTCATCACCATCAGTCAGTGCACCTAAATCTGGGTTCAGGACACCACTAGCATTGGTGAAAGGCTGTTCACAGTGTTTGATGGAGTGGCCAGACCCGTGACAGTTTAAACAACGGCCAGCATTCGCGCTGAACGCTTGTGCTCGGTCAGCTCTAGTCCTAAGGAGTGGTGTCCAAAGGGGGGGGAGTTGACGTTTGAAACCCATGGAAACAACAGCATGCACTGTCTCCCAATGATCATCGGTGGCCAGCGGCCAAGCATCGTAGCTAACACAAAACACATCATGAATTGGCTCTGCCTTAACACGCATGACCGATTTGCCACGTGCTCCCTGGGAGCTCCAAGGCTGCTGCGATTGCGTCGTCGAACGTCCTTGAGAACGACTACCGCCTTGCGAATGCAACGATAATCCACTAAGCGAGAGCGCAGCATATTGCTCGCCATTCTCTGCCTTCACCTTAGAGGTCGTGAACTCATTCAGCACTCGCCACATCTCATCCAGACTACTGTAGGGTTCTGCAGCGGTACGCTTTGCACCCGGAAAACAGTCAGACATCATCACAGAAAACTGGTCGTTGATCTTATTCCTTGTGATCCCGACAATCCAAGTCTCGTTTAGGCTAAAAAGACTGGAATAGTGCGTGATGTTGTTCACGGCAGTACGATACTGTCGCAAAAATTCTCCAAACGTAGTTCCGTTGGGAACACCGAACGCATTCAGCGTTGTCAAGGCGTCTCCACGGTCTTCATGCTTGAAGTGAGACGCGATCAGACGAAGAAGGTGCTTGAAAGCTTCTCCTCCGTTCATACCGTCGTCCATACGCTGCTTCACCTGCACAAACGTACCATTGATAGAGCTGATAAGGTCACCAGTGGTTTGCTTGTTTAGGGATACGGCGCTAATGATGGCTTTCTTCAGCGGGTTTTCCCACCCGCGAACCCACGTATCGGATTTGTCAAGAGTCATGCAACGATAGGGATAGCACATTATGGCCCAGAACCTTCTGTTATTCAGATGAGTAACCAACCAGCGATTGTCGAATATCAACTCCGATTTCAAATTTCAATCGTGTTTCATCTAGCCCATCGGATTACCTATCACGCAATATTTTCATATTGTGTCAATGTCCATTTCAGGCTGACATATGGAGCTTCTAACGTTTGAAACTCAGAAGGGATTCGTGCACCCCTACCGTTGCATGAGTCTCAAAATCGATGAAAGGGTCAGCCTGTTGCAAGACATCTAAGGCTGCAGCCTTGATAGAATCTAACAACTGCGGCACTGCCTGTTTCAGGTTTGCCGGCCAAGGGATCGATGGTTGTATACGAATATCCCTAAACTTCGTCTTGATGTACTTCGCACTGATCTCTCTCATTCGTGCAGCTTCTGCAAGCGCGTCAGCCTTGTCTATCTCTACTTGGCGAGCACGAGCAGTCGTTGACGACAACGGTTGGGCGTTATGGCCTACGAATGCACTGTTGCGTGACATCAATGAGTGGTCGCTGGCTGCGACATCACCCAACAACGGTACTTGCCTGTCATCTCGCGGGGCTGTCAGGGGTTGGTCCAGACGCTCTTCCAGTGGAAGATCGGTGGTCAGGTGCGGTTGGTTTGCGTCAAAGATCTCCTCCGGGGAGTGATCCTCGTGGGCTGGTGCCTCCGAGCCATCGCTGCTTCGGTGCCCGCGGCGGTGTCCGCGGCGGCGTGGGCTACAGCTCCTGCTATGACTCCGGCTACGGCGGCGGCCACGACTCGTGTCCTCCTTGCTGACGCTTTTAGTCGCCGAAGGCTTGCGTTCCACAGCGACCTCCTCTCGGCGGCCGTTGGACCCAGAGCGCTTCTTGCCACGTTTGCCTCGATTCGATCTCTTGGAGCTGCTGGCGGCCACGGAAGCCGACGCGTCACTTTCGCTAGCTGCGGAAGAGCGCGACCCTCGCGAACTTCGTTGACGGTGACCGTTATTGTTGCCACGTCCACGGTTGCTGGAAGACCCTCGACCACTACCACGACCACGGCTGCCACGGCTGTGGGAGCTGCTGCTGTCGGTAGCGCGCTCTTTCTTCACCTTTCGGTGGGTGACGACACCGAAATCGCCGGTCTGCTTGGCGAATGCTGCAGAAGCACCAAACGTCGTTGGCAGAAGCGAAGGGGGAAGGTACCAGTTGACCTCCGTCGGGCGGTAGCCACCTGTAAGGTTAGCGTAACCTCCTCTGAGCCCGTGCAGAAGGCGCGTTACCGATTCGACTAACGGGGCGTCTACCGTAGGGGCATGAGCGACGTGATGCATGAATTCACGGAGAGTGACCGTAGGTCTCTCCGAGGTTTCTAACATCGTCGTCAGCACTGTAGCCGCCTTGGTGACTTGTATCCTGCATGCTTCCGTGAAGGCCTGCTGGTGCACGTGCGCGAAGTTAGACACCGGAATGTCAAGGAACAATTCATCCCCCGTTCGGAGGCTGAGATCCGGCGGTCCTTGCGCCATTTGGCTGTATGACGGTTGGGCCGGGGGCGGTACCACATAACCACCTCTAGCGATGGACAGTGGTGGATTCAGCAACAGCCCTTGCTGCTGATATGGCATACCGTACCCCGCAGGGCCGGCGTGCTGGGGCTCGGAACCAAGCTCATTCAAGCCGGTGAGCGCCATGTGCTGCGAACCAAGTCCTGAAGGACCGGTGAGCGGGTGCTCAGCACCAAACCCCTGTGGGTCGGTGGGAGAGTTTCGCGTCGAACCAAATCCCGTAGGATTGGTGAGCGAGGGGCTCTGCGAACCATACCCAGAAGGGTAAGTGCGAGCCTGCTTCGAACCATGCTCTTGCGAGCCGGTGAGCTGGGAGGGTTTCGCGTCGAACCAAATCTCCCGTAGGATCGGTGAGCGAGGGGCTCTGCGAACCATACCCCGAAGGGTAAGGGCGAGCCTGCTGCAAACCATGCTCATTAGAGCCGGTGAGCTGGGTGAAGGTCCAACAGACGAGATTGCATTACCATGGGGTACAACTGGGTGTAGTCGTTTTTCGGTTATTTCATGGGCAGGCACAGGACGCGTTGGAGCGGCCGTTGACCGTGCTAGATCGAGAGCGTCAGATGGTGGTTTACCAGCTAGACGCCGTGACCGTCTAACAACAGGCATACTCGTAGTTTGCACGGGTGTGGGCGCAAATGGGAGAGGAGGGGCTGCTGTAGGGGTACGATCTTCGTCTACGGCGGGTAAAGATAAGATACATAAGATACAGGTTCTACGTCTCTGCCTGCAATTGCATCGGTGCGGACAGGGGCAGAAGCATGGTTGCCAGTCGGAACATATTCACTGTCTGTGTATTCACGTGATTGTGGACGCGGGTACACAAGTGCAGCGTCACGTGCATCATGCGCGGCACCAGGCGGGGCAGGGTTGCTGGAAGCAAATGCGCCGCTGGTGGCTTGCGGTGTCTCACCATCAGCGGATCTCAGGGTATCCGACTGCTGCGAGGTCGCAGTGGTTCTCAAACTTTGATAGCGAGAGCCATCTCCATCCATCTCCGAAACATTTGTGGTGTTCTCGGAATGCGATAAAGAAGGGGTGTCGGCATGCAGCCGAGAGAACGTTTTGATAGTTTCTCGGGGGCTTGCGACAGCGAGACCAGGGGCAGAATCGCTCGAGGAGACCGCTCCGCTGGTGCGTTCTGACGTGCGTTCGACGGAGCTACTAACTCCTATCGAGTGCGTGTGTGAGGCATCGATCAAACTCGTAGAGTGAGAGCCAACACTATCCACATTCGGCACATATCCGCGCACGGAATGGGATGCAGCCGGGCTGGCGTCGGAATAATTCAAACTCTGAGGTTCAAACATGCCGACAGCGACAGCTGGGCTACCAGGGGCAGGAGTACTAGACTCGACCGCGCCACTGCGGGCGTCCGACACGCGCACAATGGAGCGGTGAGCTTCATTCGTGTGCGTGCGTGAGGCTTCAATCAAACTCGGAGAGCGAGAGCCTTCACCATCCAATTCCGGCACATTGCTGTGTTCGGATATGGATGCGGGGTGTGAGTGTGCGCGTTGAACCACCGAGCGCATCTGCATTTCTGCAGGTGTCTCAAGGCGGTGTGCCACATCTGATGACCAGCGGCGAGCTGAATCACGAGAGGGCACAGATCTGGAGCGCGGCGCGCGACCAAGGCCTTCAGTGTGCGATCGTGCAACATCATCTTCCTGAGAGTCTACGTCTGCTAACGTGCGTCCGAACTGCGATCGCGATCGTGGCTGCTGCTGCTGCTGAAAAGTCCGACCGCGAACATGCAAGGAGGCACTCGGCGAATCCTCATCAACACGGAGCGAGCTACGCGACGCATTCGAACCATCATCATCAGGAGTGTTGTGCGGCGACAAAGGGACCGGGGTCGAGGTAGCAGAGTCGCTGCTACCTCGCGGCTCATCAGGAGCCGACATGCCGAAGCAGGGCCAAGGCTGTGGCCTTGCCGCTATTCAGCAGACCGCAAAAAAGCGAAAAATCAAAATCAATTGAACTCAAGAATCAAGCAACACGACCAAAACCAACAACGCCAGTGTAATGGTATTTGACCCCTTCCTTCAGAATCAATCACCTTTGAGCTGTGTGGAACTCTCTTGTCCGACCACAGTAGCAGGTTGTTGTTGCTTTCCGTTGTTCTCTTTCTCTTGATTAACGCTTTCCAAGCCAACTCACAATATCCCACGCACACACGATCATAGATCGCCTGTACGCACACACTGAACAGAAGGGCACATGTCTCGGCATAAAGCCCTGATCTAGCATGACGTCACGTCTTAGCATCCGACGGCGCCAAATAACCATGATCAACCACGATCACATGTCTACCTCCAAATACCATAACAACAGCTCTAAGGTGATTGATTCTGAAGGAAGGGGTCAAATACCATTACACGAACGTTCATTAAGTGTTTGATGAAACTTTTCATGGATGGTCCATGAAATTTCCATGAGCGCCCATGAAACTTTAATGAACGCCCATAAATATTCATGAAATGTTTCTGAACGTCCATGACAATCATGAAATGTTTCAGGGCGTGCCTGAAATCGTGCTGAAACATTTCATGATTTTCATGGACGTTCGTGAACACTGGGTCCCCCAGACTTTCCCCAGCAAGCTTTGCTACACAGCTTCGCGCTCCGCGGCTCATTGTATCATAATGCATATCAACTTAGTTGCTGCGTACGCCCCAACCGAGGTTGCCACCAACGACAGCAAGACAGAGTTCTGGGGAAAACTCGACAGTCTCGTGCGGAGAGTTCCCTCGAAAGAGTGTGTGTATATCCTGATGGACGCCAAAGCTCGGACGGGAGAGAGGATGGATGGGGAGGACGAGGGAGTCATGGGATACACGGGTGCGATGAGCAGAACGAGAATGGCCGACTACTGCTGACCTTCGCAGCGTAACACAAGCAAGGGCGGAATATGACACACATACAACGGTGCGTCAGGGACCGACAGCAGGCGCCTCGACTACATTCTAACGCGGCAGGCATACCACGGCCGGTGT